TGGAGGTTTGCCGAGTGCCCACGATCTAGCACTCGGCAAAGCCAAGGTTTGCGGAGTGCTAGATCGCGAGCACTCGGCAAACCCATTTTGTTTTTTTATTTTCGAACCATAAACTACTGCGTGTGTGTGGGGCCATGAAGCGGTTTGCCGAGTGTTCCAGGTCTGACACTCGGCCAACCCCAGTTTTGCCGAGTGTCAGATCATAGGCACTCGGCAAACGTTTTTTTTCATTTTCCTCCTTTTCCATAACGTGTTTTTCTTAATTTGTTCCAATGTACTTTGAAAATACCTTCTCAAATTCACTGAACAATATATATCTGATTTTTTTAGGAATATTATTTGATTATTTTATGTAGTTATAGCTCAAATTCAATCTATATCAATTAAAATTCTATAATTGCACTTAATAAATTAAAATTATCAAACGGATTCAAAAAATTACCAAAATTTCACATGAAGCAATCTTTGTTCTCTATTGCCTATACAAAAAAGTTTTGAAGTCAAACCCCAACTCGACCGTCACTTTGACTCCAAATCCTACCGAATCCTTCTCAACGCTACGATTCTTCTTTTGAGATACTTCGGTTTGTAAACATCGAACATGACTTTGTTTGCTTTTTTAGAATTTAAAAATCATTAGGCTACACGTTCGTGGTCGTGTTTTCTGAACAAGATCTTGAAATTTCTTTTCATTTCCCGGGTAAGGCCTCACACCGGACTTAATAACATGAATATCATTTTCTACTCATTTTATTCTATTATTTGAATCACTTGCAGTTTAAATTTGACTTATACCAAAAAATTCCTTGAACTTCAAAAAATTAATTAAATATAACAAACAGATCCAGAAATATACCAAATATTAACATGGAGTACCACATGTTGTATGTGGAGAATAGAAAAAGTTTCAAGGTGAGAAGAGAAAATAAACTTATTATTTCATGCTGTTATAGCTCAAATTCAATATATATCAATTAAAATCCTATAATTGCACTTAATAAATTAAAATTATCAAATGGATCCAAAAAAATTACCAAAATTTCACATCAAACAATCTATGTTCTCTATTGCCTATACAAAATGTTTTAAAGTCAAACCTCAATTCAACCGTCACTTTGACTCCAAATCCTACTGAATCCTTATCAACGCCACGATTCCTCTTCTGAGATACTTTGGTTTGTAAACATCGTACATGACTGATTATGCGAAACCTTCTCAATTTTTTACCACGGCCTCCACGTATGATATCATGAGATCTTGACAAATCTCATATTTTTCAGACTTCGTTTGCTTTTTTTAGAATTTAAAAATCATTCGGCAACACGTTCGTGGTCGTGTTTCCTGAACTAGTGGTTCGAAATTTCTTTTCATTTCCCGTAAGGCCTCACACCGAACTCAATAACATGAATATCATTTTTACTCATTTTATTCTATTATTTGAATCACTTGCAGTTCAAATTTGACTTATACCAAAAAATTCCTTGAAATTCAATAAATTAATTAAATATAGCAAACAGGTCCAGAAATATACCAAATCTTAACATAGAGTACCACATGTTGTATGTGGAGAGTAGAAAAGTTTCAAGGTCAGAAGAGAAAAAAAACTTATTTATTTGCCGAATGCAAAAAAAACACTTGGCAAAATTATTTCTTTGCCGAGTGCTAAAGCAAAACACTCGGCAAACTTACTTCTTTGCCGAGTGCCACTAACGGACACTCGGCAAACTCCTAATGGCAGGCACACTAACTGACGGATGTCCATGTGGCGGTTTTTTACCGTGTGTCTCTGTTTTGCCGAGTGGTCTTTTTTCAGCACTCGACAAAGAGTTTAGTATGCCGAGTGCCATTATTTTGCCCGAGTGTGGTTTCTACAGCACTCGGCAAACAACTTTTTTATCGAGTGCCCGATAAAATACACTTGACAAATATTTTGGTACTCGGTAAATCACCTGTTTCCGGTAGTGGGGGATGGTGTGTTTATATAGGCTGCCACAACGGCAAGTGTGGCGACGTGAACGTGTTAAGGGCTGAAAAAGTCCAAGTTCAACCTACCAAAGAAGAAGCAGTCTCCGGCTGCTACAACCTGCAGATGAAACAACACAATTATCTTATTACTATATCAACCTTTGCAAACCTACCTCGATTTTAATATTTTCACCCGCAGTACAGTAACAAATCCAATGTGATCTCTTTAGAATGTGTATTCTTTCTTTCTTTGGTGTTTTTGGGTGGAAGGGTCATGCTTATTATCCTTTAAAATTAGTTCTAAAATATTAGGAAGTAAACCATAAAATGGGGTTATTCCTAGTAATTACGAATATTTATCTAAATTAACACAGGTCAATGAGTCCTTTTGGACGGCGTGATTTGTTAATTGTTACCAGGTAAGATACTTGTTTTCTAATGGTGATTATGACATTCCCAGTAATCACGTTAGCTGATGGTGGACTGTGATAGTTGCGTAAAGAACGATATTGGATCAAATGGTCGATCCATGCGTTTGTGCTTACATAAGGATAGAAAGAGTCAACTCCTCATGTTTCCAATGTTTACTTGGTCACCATTTTATCGGGAGCTAACATACATAAATTAATCGAGTGGAATGCGCGCTTCCGTACCAAGGTGGGGACGAACTGGTAAAGGGTAGCCACTGCGCACGCTTTACTTTTGAGTTAATCAGGTGAAGCTTCTGTCTGTCAGTACAGTGAGGTAAGCCATTTGGTTGCCTGCTCCCTGGTCTATCAGTACAGTGAGGTAAGCCATTTGGTTGCCTGCTCCCTGGTCTATCAGTACAGTGAGGTAAGCCATTTGGTTGCCTGCTCCCTGGTCTATCAGTACAGTGAGGTAAGCCATTTGGTTGCCTGCTCCCTGACTTTTTCAGATTATATCCGCAATTCATTAACGTCCTGCTGCGTCAGGTAGCGACTTTTTTTTTTGATCGATCAAGCATTTGGCTGGGTCAGCAGTGTTGACCTTGGCATTTCGCTGGTACGGCAGTGATGCGCGCCCATTTCAAAATATAAAAAAGAATGGAAAAACGGGACTGTGCCTGCACCCCCGCCACACCTAACCGTGTTGAAACAAAAATTTGGGTCCAAAGGTAAAGAATCACTACCTGTCTGAGTTACCGGTAGGCAATATCCGGCAGGGAAATCCTACATATCACTGCTGGTTGAAGCTTCAAACCTTATCACTGTCGGTTCCAAAGCAATGAGCAGTGATGGCCGATAGTGAATTTATTTTTTTGTAGTGGTGGCTTATGCCAATATGCCAACTGTAACAAGATGCATTATTGGGGATGGTTAGTCATGCTTTATAAGAGAACTTATATAAAATAAACACCAGTTTACACTACTGCACAACTTCATCTCACTGCCGGTTCAACTACTACATAGAGAACCCCAAAGTGAGTTGTGTCAGTGGGTGCTATCTCGTCCCTTATTTCTCGTACACTTGTTGTCCATCATACTTGTTTCACCGTCTTGTTTGTCACATCTAGTACTTGGAACACATTTAGGCTAGCAACAAGAACAGTTCCTCCCTCCCTGATCCCATCAACAAGGGAGGCGAGCTGCCGTGAGCAGGCCGAGCACGCATGGGGCGAGCTAGCTGCAGCGGCGGGACGACGAGCACGCGCGTGGCGAGCTGCATCTACTGGATGGTGAGCGCGGCTACATGGGTGTGCTATGAGTGCGCGATGGCGACAGTGTTAGTAGGCGGGCAGTGGCGGGGCAGGACGACAGCGCTGGAGTCATGGACCACGACGGCAACGTGGGGTGCTCGTCGCCGGTGAAGGGACCGGCGAAGACCTGGTGAAGGGACCTACGAAGACCTTAGCACTGGCTGCGGTGGTGGGCGGCTGCGGCAGCAGCAGCAATGGGATGTGGGATGCGGGATGGCGGAGGGGTGGAGGTTAGCGACATGAAGAAGGGCGAGGCAGGCCGTCAGCGTCAGCGGGGAGGACTGGGAGGCACCGGTGCAGGGTGTGGAGGAGGAATGGCGGCGTCGGTGTCGGGGGTAGGGCGGGTCATTGGACGGGGCCGGGTTCACGAGGATTTTGAGGTTTCTGTTTCACCCAAGAGACTTTTGCCTTCTTAAGCTGAGCGGACCGGTCCGGGGGGAAAGGATGAGACAAGGCCGGGCGTAGCTTACTTGGGGTTGAAGCGAAGGTAGCATGGCAGACGATATCTGTTTCATAATTTTTATAGTTGTAGAAGAGACGAAGAGATGGACCATCTGCTGGTTTCTGCTTGAGATTGCTTGGTTTAACGATAAAGGAGCTCTATATAGTCTAGATTTTTTTTCTCGAATACGCAAAAGATTTGCGTATCATTGTATTAAGTAAAAGAGTTTAAGCAAATATACAACGCGCTTCTATCGAGTGTCGAAGGAGGTTGACCTAACACAGCCGTAGCTAGACCATCCTAGCAAAATACCTCTTGTTTCGATATTACATAAAAGAAAACAACCAATACCGATACAGCGATGCGACCTAGGAGATGGCCTTGCGCCTTCGCGGCTGCCTTGACGAGCCCTTTCCATCGGCCGGGAAGAGCGCGTTATTATATGCATCTAGTGACCACCTATGATACTTGACTTTCGTTATTATATGCATCTAGTGGAACACACTGGTCGTGTGGCTCCTAGGCCTACTGGGTTGATTAATTTAATCTTAGCTGCCGGTTGATAGTTCAGTTTAGCTTAGTAATTTGAACGGCTCCATGCAATATTTGTCTCCAAATTACCGTCCAAAAACATTTTTTGTGTAACAACATATCATATAAAAACAATATTCAATAAATTTTGTAGGATCCTCACGTAATTCAGTTTAAATATTCAAAAAAGGACATGGTGGTATAGCTTGCAGCAGAGACACAAAACAGTGATTGGTTACAAATACTTCCCATTTATTGTATTATATCTCCACCGTGTCGTCGTTACACACAGGAGTATGCAAAATGCATATAAACCTATCTTCGGTCAACGAAGTGAGTATCAATTTATTTAGTAGTGGTTGTTCTCCTAGAATTGTGCGTGGAGCCAATCAATTTTTCCTTTTGCACCTGGAAAGCCTTGGCCAAGACATCATCTGAGATCGGTGGTTTTGATCCAAAGACTGCATTGGCAATAGTAATAGCCCCAGGGTTCTGGCTGCTTAGTGCAGCGATTGCTACATCCGGCTTGTCATGGATTGGGTTGAATTGGAAGTGTGTGAGCCCTTGGGGGAACACAAACACGTCACCCTTGTTGAGAACCTTGGTGAATAGCTTGTTACCGTTGTCTGTGTTGGAGGTGACAAATCCAACATAGAGTGTACCCTCGAGTACGGTGAGAATCTCTGTGGCACGTGGGTGGGTGGGTGGCGGATTCTGACCTAATGGTGCATAGTCAATGCGAGCCAATGAGATGCCTAGGGTGTTGAGTCCAGGCAACTGCATGACATTGATCAAAGTGACATTGGATCCGACCTTGCTTTTCATGGTGTCCCTAGGTTTGTCAAGGTTTGCTGCCTTGAAAAAGTCATCTGCATTCACGGCCATGGGGTCCTTGCAAACAAATCCATCCACCTTCACTGTGTATACAAAGACGAAGGAAAATAGGTACACAGAGATCAGAAAACATTAGGACATACTAAAAAATATAATGTTTGTTGTGACAAATGATTATTATTTGATCCTCAGTTTACTACAAGAAAGCTCGTGCGGCAGGAGAAGAAGCGGTGGCGTGTGGGGGAGGTGGGTGGGGCTACGGGAGCGGATGTAACAGCGACGGGATGCACGAGCGCGACCTCGCGATGGCCCGATACGTGCCATTTTCTTTTCCGGGCCGGAGGAGGTGATTTTTATTTTACATCGGTTTTGGCTCAATCCATATGTAAAATTAGTGTGCACACTAGCCATCCAAACAGCTAATTCTTGCTTGCATCGGAAAAATTGACAGGCCTGTAATTTACAGGTGTCTTGGACTAAATACCGGGCTTCCAAACATGCCCTTAAAGTGAGTGCATGCATACCTGGAGAGTGTATGTCGGCCACACAGAAGTCCTGGAGCGGGCTAGGGTCAGAAGCAATGGCCTGAGAAGTGACCAATGCAAGAAAAAAAACGAGGAGAAAGTAGGTGGCGGGAACCATCAAGTTTAATTTTTCGCTCGCTTTTATGATTGTGCTCTTCGAACTCAGCTATAGAGAGCTGCTTGTTGAGTTTGCGTCTCTCTGTTGATGCTTTGGGCATGGGGATGCATGGTGTGTTTATATAGGCAGCCACAACGGCAAGTGTGGCAACGTGAACACGTTAATCTCCTACTACAATTAAAAAGAACAAAGTGTGGATATTTTTTGGTGCGATATTTGTTTTGGTTCGTACGTCTGCCCACGCCTGCAATCCCACGACATCTCCCACATGTTACAGGTTAATCTTAATTACTGATTGATTGTGCCATTCTCCTTGATTGAATATTGTCTGTCATGTGATAGAGGAATCATGGCAAAATAGAAAGTAGAAAATTATTGTGCTATCTATATACACATTGCATGTTTGCATGCACCAGTATACATGGCAACGAGCAAAAAGAAAAAGAATTAACACAGAAGGAAAGAGAATTAAGACAAAATGAATCTCTTTACACCTCTTGACTATCTGAGTAAGGATAAGTTAGCACTGCAAAGGCTCAAAAAAGCTATTGAGAAGGCCAAGGTTGAGTTTTTCTCCACTATGCATACTAAAACCTATGTCCCCATTTATTATTGCCGATGCTTTTGATGCAAAACAATTCAACATTACCATGATCAGATATAAGTTTGAGTCTCTTGTGAGCAATCTCATAGAGGGACTCTCATCCTTTATGTGATCTGCCTCAAGGATATTGGCAGGATGATGAACCATGTTGGAATATCGCACCTAAAAAGTGTCCACATTTTATCCACAATTTATTTCCCATGAATACATGCGGGTACTATGATAACACTAACAACACCAAATGAAAGATTAAAGAGAATTTGCATTGTCTTCAGAAGGATTTATTTATTAAGTTCTTTGGACTCTACAGGTAGTTTTGAAATATCTATTTGCATGTCTTACCTCGTATCATAATTCAAAATTTTATAGTTTAATTAAAATATTTAGGTGATTGTATATATATAATATTCAATACAAGAATAATCTATGCAGGATCTTCTTGAAAGATTTATGCGGTGTAAAGACATCTTCATTTTTTATGCATGCACGTGCTAACGCTACGGTAAAAACAAAACTCATGCTTAAAGTCAAAGAGATAAATTATGGATGCTTGAATTTTGTCATCCATTATCTACCGACGTGCCTATAAAATAGACTGAATAAACAATTAAACATAGATAGATAACTAAATTAATGAAAGGATCATTGTAAGACATCAATCATCTCATAGCTTCGGATAATATCGCAAAGCTACTAAAAAGTGTAACCGTACCCTCACCTCAAACATTGTCTAGATAAATGGATTACAATGAAAGAAATGGATATCGGAGATTTCTTCCTGCCAATATAAAACATTATCTTAGCCGCATCACGAAAAGGTCTATAAAGTAGAGTTTGTGAGCCTGCAACGCCGCGCACTCCGTGACTCTGTTAAATTCATAAACTTTGCTTTTTGGATTAAATGTCACTTTAACGTTGGTATTTAATTTTTACAGTATTGTTATCTTATCGTGCGATCCGTGTGTTTTTAGTATAAATTATTAGTTATCCCGTAGCAACGCACGGACACGCTTTCTAGTGACTGAAAAAGTCCAAGTTCAACCTACTGATGAAACAAAACAATTAATTATCATATACTATATTTCTCAACCTTTTCAAACCTACCTTGGTTTTAATATGTATTTTCACACGCATTACACTAACAAATCCAATGGGATCTTTTGGAACGCGTATTCTTTCTTTTCATTTGTGTTTTTGGGTGGAAGGGTCATGCTTATTATCCTTTTAAAAGTAATTCTAAAATAATAGGAAGGAAACCATAAAATGGGTAATAGTTACTATATTTATCTAAATTTTTAACACAGGTAAACGAGTCCTTTTGGACGGTGTGGTTTGTTAATTGTTGCCAGGTAAGCTATATATATATATATATATACACACACACGTACTGTTAGTGTCGGCGGAATAAATTATTCTGTGGCCACTTTGAGTTACAATAATTACTATACTAGTCTATGAGATTATGGTAACTCCTCATAAATGATTTACTATAGCATTATGGTAAATATCATCTTGAATTATAGTAACCCATCTATCGTAAATATGTATTGTTATTATCGTAAATTAGTACAAACATTATCATAAATCAAGGTGGCCATAGAATAAGTTATTCTGTAGCCAGTTATAGAATAGTCTTACCGTATAGAACTACTGTTCTGCAGCTGGTCATAGAATAACTTATTCTGTGACTACTTTGAGTTACGATAGTTACTATGCTAATTTACGAGAATACAGTAACTCCTTACTAAGTGATTTACTATAACATTATGGTAAATATCACCGTGAGTTGTAGTAATACGAGTATCGTAAATGCATATTCATGTTATCGTAAATTGGTACAAACAATATCGTAAATCAAGGTGGCTATAAAATAAGTTATTCTATGGCCAGCTGCAGAATAGCCTTACCATATATATATATATATATATATATATTATTGTTGATATGGAGAGATGAGATTCGTTTTCTAATACATCCGTACTAAACAAGAAAAATGGTAAGGTTCAAATGCATCCATCCTTCGCTCACATACGTATAGAAATTAGAAGGATTCAACTACTCGCTAACAAAAGATAGAAACAGTCAACAGTGCGGAAGCCTCTCTATATATTAACACATGCGTCGTCATGTATAATTAATATTATTACTTTGCACGCCGATTATATAAGTATTTAACAATCTCCATGTGCCGTGTCGTCATTCGTGACCACTAGTTTTTTTTTTTTAATCTTCGTGACCACTGGTGGAGTCATAGCAGATTCGTGTTTCCAATGTTTACTTGGTCACCATCTTTTCGGGAGCTGACATACATGAATTAGTCGAGTGGAATGGTCCCGTACCAAGGCAGGGATGAACTGGTAAAACTGTAGCTACCGCACAGGCTTTCCTTTTGAGATAAATCAGGTGAAGCTTCCATCTATCGTTACAAGACCAAACCATCATCTGTCCTTCATGGTTTACCAGTGAGGCCATACCGTAAGCCTGCAACCTGCTATTCTACAGGACACTGGTACACAAATAATTTTTACAGATGGCTCTCATTTCTAATAGAGACGGACGACGACTAAGGAAACCGCTCTTAACCTTGGCGGGGAGCACTGTAGCTAACGAACTGTCGTTGGAAATGAATTTTCAGGAGCAGTTCTATTATAATTAAACCATCGCTGAAAGTATATACATATTTTCAGGGACGGCCGGCTTAAAAGAACCTCCCCTGAAGACGACTAAGGAAACCGCTCGTAACCTTGGCGGGGAGCACTGTAGCTAATGAACTGTCGTTGGAAATAAATTTTCAGGAGCAGTTCTATTATAATTAAACCATCATTGAAAGTATATACATATTTTCAGGGACGGCCGGCTTAAAAGAACCTCCTCTGAAAATAAAATTTTCAAGGATGGTTACTTATGTCCACCGTCTCTAAAAATGGTTGATTTCTAGGGTTGGTTTTGTTAAGTCCACATTCCCTAAAAATTGATTTTCAAGGGCAGTTGACTAAGTCAATCTTCCTTAAAAATAGTTGTGGCACAAATAAATTCATATCTTTTTCAAATGAAGTCGGATGAAGACAAAATTTATATCATATTGTAGAGCTTGACTAGATCTAAAACTTTGTAGTTGATAAAATTTTTGATTGAGAGCATTTAAGATCTCATATTCTGAATTTTAATTTTTAACATTTTTCAGATGACCTTGGATGGAAGCACGCTCTATATCGATGTTGTAGTGCTCGACGAGATTTAAACGCTTTTGTAGTAGAAAATTTATCCTTTTAAGATGATTTATGAGTCAAAATATTGATTACAAGGGGAGGAGCCATTTTTTTACTAGAAGGGTGAAGCCCCTAAACATGGCTTCTCCAACTTCTTAGATGAAGCCATTACCAAGCAGGGCCAAACAAAGAAACAAATCAAGGTGCGTGCACTCGTGTATTTATAGAAAAATTTTCTGCAGTACCAAGGACAACACTAACAGATCTTAATGGTGTGAACCTGAAGATGAAACAACACAATTATCTTATTACTATATCAACCTTTGCAAGCCTACCTTGCTTTTGATATTTTCACACGCATTACACTAACCAGTCCAATGTGATCTCTTTGGAATGTGTATTCTTTATTTTCTTTTGTGTTTTTGTGCGGAAGGGTCATGCTTATTATCCTTTTAAAAATTACTTCTAAAAATGTTGGGAAGTAAAACATAAAATGGTTATTCCTAGCAAATACTTTATTTATCTACATTTTAACAGGGGTAAATGAGTCCTTTTTGACGGTGTGGTTTGTTAATTGTTGCTGGGTAAAAGGTACTATTGTTGATATATGGAGAGATGATTCGTTTTCTAATGCGTCCGTACTAAACAAGAAAAATGGTAAGGTACTATTGTTGATATGGACGGTGATAGTTGCGTAAACAAGAAAAATGGTTCAAAAGGTCCACATTCATGCTTGTGCTCACATACCTATACCCATAGAAATTAGAAAGGGTCAACTCCTCGCTCACAAAAGATAGAAAGAGTCAATAGTGCAGAAAGCCTCTCTCTCTCTATATATATGTTAACATATGCATCGTCACGTACAATATCTTTACTTTGCACCTCCATTATATAAGTATTTAACAATCTCCATGTCGTCATTCGTGACCACGTTGAGTCATAGCAGATTCATGTTTCCAATGTTTACATGGTCACCATTTTTTCAGAAGGTAAGATACATGAATTAATCAAGTGGAATACTTCCGTAGGTACCAAGGCGGGGACCAACTGGTATAAGTCTTCCTAACTCATGCCTCCGTTCTATTGGGCTGAGTGATTAGCTATTGTCACTTATGTGCTCAACAGAAGACCGTCTTCTATTGTTGCTATAAGTATTTATCAATCTCCATGTCGCCATTCGTGACCAC